TATACAGGATCACTATGAGGTGTCTCAAGGGGACCTAACAGCAACAAGTATGTAACATAAATATAATTAGGAAAGTAATATGCTTACTTGGAAATGTTAAAGTTCTGGTATTAAGAAAATGCTATTCTAATCCAAGTTTGTCACTGGTTAGTTATATGACAATGGAAAGTCAAAATATGAAACATCCTAAACACTAAAAAGAAGATAACTATAATTGTCATTGTTCATCATTTAAGTATTAATTAGAAAAATATGAGAAGTGAAAATGGGAATTGAAAAAGAGGAAAAGGAACTCCTCATTTCTGATTTATCATCCCTGACTTCTTAAACACTGGCTGTATTTTGCTTATGTGACAGATCTACTCATCACCTGGCACTCTGCCCTAAAAGGCTGACATTATTTCCCAAAATCCTGGTTTCTAATGATGTTTGGCAAATATGGAGCCCAGTAAGATACCAGAGGGAGGGAGAAAAGTGTGATCAGGATATTTGTTTCCTTTATTCTTCTGCCTCCTTCCCTACATGGTTGTCATGAATTAAATGAGTCAAAGCTCACTGTTCGCCTCACAAAGGTCAACTCTTCAATTTTTTTTTTTTTTTTTCCCCTCTTGGTTCTGTAACTGATCTCTCCTTCATTGTGGCTTAGGCAAGGTAATAGCTTGGTACTGAGCACTGCTACACCACCCCTTTGACGTCCCATGAAGTTCCATTCAAATTTGAAAGCAGTCTTTTTATAAATAAAATATTTCCACCTATCCTATTTTGAGTGTATCATTTCTGCCTGTTGGAATTTTGATCAATACCTACACTTCTGCTCTTGTAGTACCCTCAGATTAGGATGCCTTTCTTTCCTCTGTCTCTCTGGTCAGTTTCTAGACAGGTTCCCAAGACTATTTGGATACAGCTATGCCTCTGTTACTTTCCCTTTTACAATCAGGAATGAATAAACTGCCCATGTATATATATATTTTTTTTTACTCTAATAGCACTTTATATTCAAAACACAAACATCACACAAACACACAATCACCATATATATATCACTATATGCCACAATGCAGTACAATAGTTTACATTAGTTTCTACTTATAGATTTTCCTAATGTAGAGATGATGTTTTACTACAATATCACAGATTTGGTAAGCATTTGATACACAGAAGACAGTCAATAATTGTGTTAACTTTCTATGAAAGAACTGGAGAAAAAAGTTTTTGTTTTGTCTTTCCTTGTTTTTTAAATATATAGTGAGAGTTAGTTAAAAAAAAAAAAAAAAAACTCAGTGCCTTTGAGTCATTTTCGACTTATAGCAACCCATATTGGGTTTCTGAGGCTGTAAATCTTTATGAAAGTAGATTGCCCCATCTTCCTTCCATGAAGCACCTGGTGGGTTTGAACCGCTGACCTGCTGGTGAGCAGCCAAGTGCCTTATCCACTACATGACTAAAAGTACACATTTTATAGTAATTAACAAAAAAATTACCTTTAAAAAATAAATTTGGTTATGTATTGAAAAGAAAGGAGTGTTGAAGAAGTCTCATACAGGCAAGTCATCTTCTATTCTTTCCTTAGGTCTTTATAAAAACCAAGCTCACTGATATGGAGTCAATTTGACTCATAGCAACCCCTCCTTGGGTTTCTGAGACAGTATCTCTACAGAAGTAGATTGCCCAGGCTTCCTTCTGAGGAGTGGCTGGTGGATGTGAACCGCCAGCTGCCAGCTGCTGTTTAGCAGTCAAATGCCTTATGCACTATGCCACCAGAGCTCCCTAGATCTTTATAGTCTCAATGACTTATCTTTTTATATTATAAAAATATTTTCTATTTTACAAATGTATGCGAAAACATGGAAAGAGGACATTTATATGGTGTCTTAACTATCTAGTGCTGCTGTAACAGAAGTACCACAAGTGAATGGCTTTAACAAATTTACTTTCTTTCAATGTCGGAGGCTAAAAGTTCAAATCCAAGACACCAGCTCTAGGGGAAGGCTTTCTCTCGCAATTGGCTATGAGGGACAGTCCTTGTCTCATTTTAGCAATAGTGAGCCTGTCATCCCTTGGAGATACCCATGCCTCTTCTAGTCAAACTTCCCGAGTCTAGGACGTTGTTAGTGCAGGGAACCTGGGTCAAAGGACAAGTTCTGCTCTTGGCTCTTCTTTCTTGGTGTTAGTTAGGTCCCTTTTTCTGTGATTGCTTTTCTCTCCTTTTATGTTTTGTAAGATAAAAAGCAGTGCAGGCCATAACCCAAGGAAACTCTCTATACATGAGACCAGGTCTGTGACCTGAGTAAAGGTGATGCATCCCACCTTAATCTCCTTACAATTGACTGGTCAATCACATCAAATCACATCATGGGAGATGATTTCATCATTACAGAACACCCAGATTATATCATTATATAACTTCCAAACCTCTGTGAATCATACATAGCCCTAGCCTAGCCAAGTTGACATATATTTTGGGGAGACACAATCCAATCTAAGACGCTTGGCCATATAAGCAGTTAGCACATGTTATCTTTTTTCCAAAGTGTTCAGTTGAAAAGATCAGGTTGGTTCTTTTATTATTATTTTATTTATTTATTTATTTATTTTCCAAAGAAAACAAAGCTATTATTCCAATGTTAGGTAACATTTTTTGTTAATGGTTATCAGATAATTCACAAGTGAGACATCCTGAAGTAAAGTTCTAAAGGTCAATCCCTTGTGGACTGAAATAAATTTTCAAGTTCAATTTAAAACAAGATTTTTAATTACCAAGATAGACTACCTAGGGACAACTTCAGATTGAAAGGCCAAAAACCTCAAGTTAGTTGATTTATTAAAGAGAATTTAACCCTACCCCAAAGAAAACTTGATGTATCATTTCTGATAAATCAAAAAACAATTATATCATTCTTTTACCATTATAATTGGATCTAAATGTTTTCTCTATATTTGAAACATTTAAAAACTACAAATAACTTTTGGGAACTAATTTCTAGTTAATTATCCTCACTGAAATTTTTAGAGAATAATAATAATAATAACAATAATAATAAATGACACAACAGTTTACCTGATACTTGATGAGTGTTTATTTGCTATTAGACATGGATTTTAAAAGCCAGGTAAAACTGTAAAAGTAACTCTTCAAAAATCAAATTGTATTCTTCCATCAAGGTAAAACATAACTGAGACCATAGAATAGAAAGTATATGAGATTTGGAGTTAGACCAGAAAATCAAATTTCTACCTTAATTCCTAGTTTATATTAGACTATCAACAATCAATCATTCCTAGTACTCAATTATTTTGGCAATCTACTTTCTTAGAGATACTACCTCAGAAACCCAAGGAGGGGTCGCTATGAGTCAAATTTGACTCAATGGCAGTGAGTTTGGTTTTGGTTTATAAAAATAATATATCAAAATTAATTCATTTACCATTAGATTGATAAAGCAGGTAAGATGTCACAGATCATCAAATTACCTAATTATCTAATTGAGAACAATATTCTCCAACTCCTTAAAAAATTAATATGTTTAGTTCTTTAAAAAAAAACCTCCATAAAACCTAAAAAAAAGAAAGAAGAAAGAAACCAGTAGTATCTTATAACTATTACCTCACCTCACAGTTCACATAAAACCAGACTTTTTAAACCATGAAAAAAAAATCAAGCAATTTGGTTTCTTCCTTCAAAGACTGGGCCTAAAAATAGTTTTAACAGTCAATAAATATTTCTTAATTGGCTACTCTGTGCCAGATACTGCACTAAGAATGAGGAATATACAGTAGCAGAAAACAAAAGAGCCAAAGTCCATACTCTTGTGGAGCTTACACAGAGATAGAAAGGAGATTATTCATATTAATTTTAAATTCCTCTTATTGTACACTGTAGCTACTTTTTCTCTTAGTCCCTACAGATTAAAAAGAACCTTGGCTGCCATCCCACGTTGAAATGTCTATTTATTTCAGACAATATCCTTTTTGTTAAATATATTATTCTCACACACACTTATAATTTTATTTTCTTCAAAGACACTATACCTTTTTATTTTAAATATAGCTTAAGCAACTCTGATTTAATACTGTTAAAGAGCAAATGCTCCAAAAAATATTAATTCAGTCACATGATTTAGCATGATAAATGTAATGAATGTTATCCCATGTCTAAGAAAAGATAAAAGACACAAAGGGACATGGAAATATTATAAAATCATATGAGCTAAAATTCAAATAAATGTTAAAAGGATTGAGATGATTTCTTATACAACTAAAAGACTTACATTTGTAATCCAGACTTTGGGACTTATCCTCAATCATCCTTTTAGGATACAAGAGAGGCAGTCTGTGTCTGCTTTGCAAACCCTGTCTGTAGAACCACAGCCAAAGCAGAGAGTATGGAAGATGCTGAGTCTGCATCTAATAGGCAAACCCCTAAGGTAACACAGTGGGCTTTACCACAAGAGAACAAAACCCAGAAAAGGGAAGAACCAAGAAAAGCAAATCTCCAAAATGTTCAGGTCTCCAACACAATATTCCCTTCAATCTTCTCAAGACTCTTTTAAAAACAGGTAAGAATTCCCTTGGTATTTGTTGATTTTAAGATTTTTTTTTTTTTTTTAACTAAAGTTTTGTTTTTTTTTTTTCCAAGCTAAACTTTTATAATTACTCTATTACTTCTTATATCAAGTTTCAAAACTCATGATAATATCTCGCCAGCTAACCTCTCTAATCAGAACTCAGTGCCTTAGACTGCTAGGAGAACTGAAGGTCTTGGTGACAGAAATGACACCAGAGATCATATAACAGAAAAAAATTCCTGTTTGTTAAAGCAAAAAAAAAAAAAAAAAAACTACCCCTAACACATTCCAATTTGTCCCTCCCACTTTTAAATTTTCCTCTATGGGGACATTTAAACTATTTCTCCCACAATTATCATTATCATGCATTGGTTGCACATTCTAATATTTTCAACGAACTGCAGAGTTCAAACAAAAACAGATTAGAGGAAGTACCTTTAATTTGGATCCATGAGGCACCACTATAGATTGATTCTGCTTTGGTGGGATGTACAACTCCCACTTTCCAAAATCCAGTTTTTTATATGGGTATGAAAATGGATTCCAGCCATCTAAAAAAATAAAGATCAGTCAACAATAGCATGATAGAACTAAAATCTAATGGATTACAAGAAAATATAACATTCTGCTCACATGTACAAAATTAAATTGCCCACAAAATATTAAGTCATCAAACTTGCTAATCAAAATATTATAGCAGCCATTTAGGAAATATAGGCAATTATATAAGATGTATTTTAAAGTTTTATTCTTTTGCGTCTTAAAATTAAACAAAGATTACTACATTTTCAATTCTACTTTCAAATTTCAATTTTATCAATAAATGTAATTGAAAAGAAAATGATGTAGGCCTGCAGGACTGCAGAATAGGCTGAGGTGGTGGCAGCAGCCAGACCAAATCGACAGCGGGGTGAGGCGTGTGACCCCCCATCTCCGACCTTAAGACACAGGATGTGAGGAGAGGGAGGGACCTGGGCTTTCCTGGGTCCCAGGGCTTGATACGTAGGCAACTGCAGTAGTGTGGGGAACCAATGTTTGATACAGGAATGACAAGAAGTGTGGGAGACCTTACGCTTGATGATGGGTGGGTAGCACGTAATGAGTGAAACTCAGTGTTGATGGAATGACCGAGGCAGCTGGGTAAGTTCTATTTAAGGGCTAGAGCCCTACAGGTACACCTTACTGCTAGGCTGCCACAGTCCGCAAAAACAAACAGTTTCTGTGGAAAAGATTCTGTTTTGTCTATGTTTCTGTATTTGTACATATGGGTTTATTTTGGAAGTGCATTATGTAGCTTGAATAAGTAAAATTATAAACATTTAATTAAAAAAAAGAAAGAAAATTATGTGTCCTTTTTAAGAAACACCATCCACAAAGAGAAATAATATGGAAAAAAAAAAAGGAGTGCAATATAGATAATGCCACCATTTATCTGTCAATTGGATGGACTGTGGTATGTTGCATGTTGCTGCTATGCTGTAAGCTACGCATTGGTACTGAAAATAGGAGCTTGGTCACCCATCCTAGACAGATTTCAAAAGACCTACCTACTAAGACAGACTAGGAGAAGAACATGAGATTCTAAAAAAAAATTGGTCATTGAAAGCCTTATTAATAGCAGTGAGACACTGTCTGATCCAGAGCTAGAAGATTAGCCCCTCAGGTAGGAAGGCACTCAAAATATGAATGTGGAAGAGGTGCCTCCTCAAAAGAGAGGCAACCTAAATGACAAGGATGGAATAAAATTTGGGGGATTTCCATTTGCTGCTATGGCAAGATTTATAATGAGAAGAAAAGTAGCAAATATCCTTTACTAATCACTATGGAATGTACAAAGTATAAATCTAAGAAAATTGAAAGCAGTTAAAAATGAAATGGAACACATAAAGACCAATATCCTAGGTATCAGTGTGTTGAAATGGATTGATATTGGCCATTCTGAATTGAACAATCATATAGTCTACTATGTCAGGAATGAGAAGTTGAAGAGGAATGGTGTCATATTTATCATCAAGAACATTTCAAGATCTACCCTGAAGTGCAAAACTGTCAGAGATATGACAATATCCGTACACATATAAGGAAGATCAGTTAATACAACTATTACTCAAATTTATGCACCAACTACTAAAGCCAAAGAAGAAGAAATTGAAGTGTTTTTTTTTTTTAACTTCCGCCACTGTAATTTATCAAACATACATTCAAGATGCAATGATCATTATTAGTGATTAGAATGAGAAAATCAGAAACAAAGAAGGATTGGTAGTTGGAAAATAGTGTCTTGGTAAGTGAAATGACACTTCTGTGTCATTCTGTAAGTAACAGAGTCACATGTTAAATTTATTCAATGATTTATTCATTGCAAATATCTTTTTTCAACAACATAGAAAGCTGCTATACATGTGGACCACAACAGATGTAATACACAGGAATGCAATTGACTATATCTGTGGAAGGAGATGATGGAGAAGTCAATATCATCAGTCAGAACAAGGACAAGGGCTGACTATGGAAAAGATCAATTGCTCATTCTCGATTTCAGGTTGAAGCTGAAGAAAATTAAAGCAGGTTCCTGAGAGCCAAAAGATGACTTTGAGTATAGCCCACCTGAATTTTGAGACCATCCTGAAGAAGAAATTTGACATATAGAACAATGACAGAAGGCCAGATGATTGTGGGATAACATCAATAACATCATATATGAAGAAAGCAAAAGGTCAATAAAAAGACAGGAAAGGAAGAAAATACCAAAATGGATATCAGAAGAGACTCTGAAACCTGCTCTTGAACATAGAGTAGCTAAAGTAAATGGAAGAAATAATGAAATAAAAGACCTCAACAGAAGATTTCAAAGGTGTGCTTGAGAAGACAAAGTAAAATACTACAACAAAATGTACAAACATCTGGAGTTAGGAAACCAAAAAGGATGAACATGGTTGGCATTTCTCAAGCTGAAAGAACTGTTGGAAAAAAATTCAAGCTTGAGGCTTGATATGAAGGATAACTGAACTGAAGGATAATACAGACAATGTACTGAACAACACAGGAAGCGTCAAAAGAAGATGGAATGAATACATAGAGACACTGTATCAAAAAAAGTGATAAAGAACCAATGGTATTGAAAGAAGAAGTTCAAGCTGCAGTGAAGGCATTTGTGAGCGGAAAAAGAAAAAAATAAGGCTTCAAGAAATGATGGACTACGGCAGAGGCGGGGCAAGATGGCGGACTAGGCAGAAGGATTGCACAGACCCTCTTCAACAAAGAAAAGGGAAACCAATTAAGACAGACACAGAAGATAATCTTGGACCCCTGAGCCTTGAAGGAAAGAATGCAGATTTGGACTAAACCCCAACTAGCAGAAGAATTTGTGTGAAAAT